AACCACTTTATTATCTCCGGGACTCTCTCACACAAATGCTAGGGAAAACGGCCAATGTGGTGAAGGCGATCTGCAGCAGGTGATGTCTGCAGCTCCCCTCTCAGTTCAGCACCCCTCCCCACAACACACTGCACTGGGAGCCTCAAACATGCAGAGGTCTAAATCACAGAGTCCACTCTAAAGCTGCACTCTCTACAAGATACTTTTTTTTGTGGGGGGATGGGGGGTGGGGATGGAGACTTGCTCTGTCACCAGGCTGGAGTGCAATGGCACAGATCTCGGCTCACTGCAACCTCCGCTTCCCGGGTTCAAGTGATTCTCTTGCCTCAGCCTCCTGAGTAGCTGGGACTACAGGCATGCGCCACCATGCCCAGCTAATTTTTGTATTTTTAGTACACACAGGGTTTCACCATGTTGGCCAGGATGGTCTCAATCTCTTGACCTCGTGATCCACCCGCCTCGGCCTCCCAAAATGTTGGGATTACTGGTGTGAGCCACCATGCCCAGCCTCTACAAGGTACTTAAGTGTCACAGAGATTACACTGTCAGCGAAAGGGTCTTGACTCTAAAGGCAGAAGTTGATTCTTCATCCTGTGGATAGGAGCAGTTTGGGTGTTAGGATTTAAGGAGGGTGGAAGTTTCGTCTTCAACCTATGGATAGGAGGAGTTCGGGTGTCAGGATTCAAGGAGGGGTGCCAAAGACAAACTCCCATTCCTTCACAATTTTGCTGGGATCAGCTCCACTTTCTTGGTTTGGAGGTGAGATGGGGAGAGAGAAGAATTCTGGGAAAGCAGACTCTGATTTTGGCCATGGGTAGAATTCCTCCAAAGAGGAACCAGTACTTACGAAGGTATGCTAGGCAGGAAATGGTTCCATAAAATGGACATTACTTACCACTCAGCATTGTGAGGATCAAATGAGATAATATTTTAGACGACTTAACATACTATGAGGCACATATGGCCTGATAAGTGTTTATTATTATTTCACTGATATGTACTAAAAATGATGAAAATAAGCTTCCAAAGAAATTTGTTCACAGACCATTAGAAACAGTTGCACTTGTGCTGAAATCCATAAGAACTGCTCATGATACAAAAGAGTGCAATCTTTTCCCTTTTTAAAGATCCATCACTTTTTTTATTTTATTTTTTTTTTTTGAAGACGGAGTCTTGCTCTGTCACCCAGGCTGGAGTGCAGTGGTGCCATCTCAGCTCACTGAAACCTCCCAGGTTCAGGTGATTCTTCTGTCTCAGTCTCCCAAGTAACTGGGATTACAGGTGTGCACCACTATGCCCAGCTGATTTTTTGTATTTTTAGTAGAGACGCGGTTTCACCATGTTGGCCAGGCTGGTCTTGACCTCCTGACCTCAGGTGATCTGCCTGCCTCAGCCTCTCAAAGTGTTGGGATTACAGGCGTGAGCCATTGCACCCAGCAGATCACTTTAGAAGTTACTGTGGTAACATGTAATTTCAAATCTTTCCAATGCCCAGCAACTATAATCTCCCCTCTCGCCTACCCAAGACGGAGTCTTGCTGTCACCCAGGTTGGAATGTAGTGGTGAGATCTCAGCTCACTGCAACCTCTGCCTCCTGGCTTCAAGCAATTCTCCTGCCTTAGCCTCCTGAGTAGCTGGGATTACAGGTGCCTGCCACCGCACCTGGCTTATTTTTGTATTTTTAGTAGAGACGGGGTTTTATCATGTTGGCCAGGCTGGTCTCAAACTCCTAACCTTGTGATCCGCCTGCCTCGGCCTCCCAAAGTGCTGGGATTACAGGCATGAGCCACCACGGCCAGCCACAACTATAATCTTATTACATTTTGTCAGTTAAAGCATCCCCTCAGTGTGTGTATTAGTTGAGTTTAACAATATCATTTATTAAATATGGCCTTCCTGGCCAGGCGTGGGGGCTCACACCTGTAATCC